ATATATATATATATATATATATATATAACCTATCACTGCAGCATAACTATACCAATTTAGAAACACAGGCCTTTGGCCTTGGATAAAATGACGCCTGGTAATGATGATCCCAGCCTTGATAAGAAATTCACAAGCTGTGTTACAATCTTACAGCACACCAGAATATCAGCCTCAAAATAACTTTTTTTTGTTGTCATCATATGATTCATATGTCATGCATATGATTGTGCATATCAGCCTCAAAATAACAAGACCCTTTGCTCATTGGAGTCAGCATAGCATATTCCTTGTATATGTCAAGCATGCTACCTGTAACCTTTCGCAGTCGTGGTTTGGTGACCTTTCATCCCCATGCAAGAGATTCATAGCTCAGGCATAAAGCAGCCTAGCTATATCTGCCCCAGAAATCTAGACATGTCAGACTTCAGTATGTGAGACAATAAGAAAATCCCAGATGCAAACTCCCTTGCTAAACTCCACAGTTCTCAAGAGCTGATGATTTTGACTTTGGAATACATGCTCAGTGAAAATGTAAGCTATAGACCAATGGAGAAAACAGAAGACATCCTCTCTTCCTTCTTTAATTCCTTTCCCCAAAAAAAGTCTTTTGAAATATTTCCCTGCTATTGCTTAAAAGTTATCCAAGGTGCTGTAGATTTGAATGTCAGCAGATAATTAGTAGATAGAATTACAAGCAGAAATCAAATATATCCAAGTGACACAGAAGCAGATTCCTTGGTGTCCACTGCCTGCAGGTATTGTGTCAGGAGGCGGGTACTGAATCAGAAAGACTTGTAAGAGAAAGATAAGGACAGTGAAGAACGCAGGATGTTGTAATGCTATGCAGAGAGAAAGAGGTAAAGAGTTCAGCTTTTGCTAATGATAAAAAAAGAAATACTAGAATATCAGCTTGTTGACAACTCCTGCAACCGGGTGTGGAAGCTTGATAAATGGGAATTAGGGGAGGAATCTGGATGGTTGCCCAAAGCCACTTTACGAGAGTGTGCTGGAAGAGGCAAGCAAGTCACTAATCTTACTATTCAGGAAAAACTCGGAAATGTGATTGGTGGAAGTTTGGCTTAATGGGTTATATCAGCTAAGCATATCTTATTCGGTACAGTATATCAGATGTCACTAGGCTGTTTATTTTCTCCACTGTAGTAGTATAAATAATTTTCTCTTATAATACTCAGAGATCTTTGGTAGCATACAGACACATTTAGATTAAGTAACATATCTCATGTTCATTAAATTAGGTGTGAAATGGCTTAAGGACAAATTATTGAAATAGTGTGTCTGTTATAATTAACATTGTAGGCATATAAAAAAGATGTGGGAAAAGAATACATCGAGTTAAAAAGCTGGAGGAAGAGAACTGTGGGTTACAGAACATTCTTCTGTTTCATGATTTTGAATAAGAAATCATGGTTTGAATAAGAAATTGAAACTCTTCTGTGTTGAGCCAGGGGTTGGACTTGATGATCCTTATAGGTCTCTTCCAACTTGGGATATTCTATGATTAATTTTTACAAGCTAACTTCTGGTTATTCCCTGTCTTTCACATGGTTGTTTTCACGGAACGTTGCACATGCAGAGAAAAGAAATGAGCAGTATTTACAATGTTCAGTTAATCAACATTGCCAGCGAGGTCACAGAACATTAGTTTTGTTTTTTTTTTAATGTAAAACTACTGAAGACAATTCAGCTGTTAAGATAGAGGATCAAAAAGTTAAGCAGTTTAAAGTTCTGAAAGTCCAACCATTAAAATTCTTAGAGCAAAATTTGTAGGTTAGATATAAATAAATGGACATCTGTATGGGGTTGCTGAATCATGGCCTGAACCTCTGATTGATCACCTGAGGTGAGCCATGAGTCAGCCACAGGAGCACAGGTGAAGGCAATTCACCTGTGCTGCTGGAAGGGGTGGAGCCTGGCTGCACCTCTCCTAGACCTATTTAAGAGCTGACTGCCAGCAGGGAAGGCTCTCTTCTGGAGATCCGTACTGCTGGAGTTTACTATGAGAGCCCAGGGTAGGGTGAGTGTCCTTTTATTTCCTACTCTAGTATAATAATTGCATCAGCTAGACTCCTGGATACGCTATACCATCTGTATATGAATTGACTGTACAATATCTATATATATCTATATCTATATATATATTTTTTTTTTTTGTGGGTGGAGAAAATGCTTTAGACAAGCGCTCTTCTGTAGTCAGTGGATATTTATTTGTCAAAGAAATCACTGTGATGTTCTTTTGCCTTTCAATTTAGCTATTCACATGGTGTCTTGTTTGAATGGTGACTGTTCTCCACTGGAAAAATATGTATGAATTGTCCAGCGTTTTTAAGAAGAACAGTTAGCAGTCCTAAACATTTGTATGGCTTCCACTCTTAATACTTTAAGTCAATGACATTTCAGAACTTAAACATCATTACATTGTTATCGAAATCCATTTCCTACTTATAAAGTTTTGACTTGTGAAGTCTGGGAATAAATTACTCCTTTGTTTTTCAGGTTTTGCTGTTATTTTTTTTTTTTCTTCCTTATTAAAAATCATTTGTCTTTCAGTTTTCTGGGAACGCATATGTTCTGTTACCCTTGGGGCTTAGAAAGATATTTGTATACTTGTGGCTATACATGCCACAACTGTTTTAAAAATCTCAACATTGACTTAGTATGTGCATATAAAAAAATATATTCAGACATGAATTTATGTGCATGTTCATTTGCACTTGAGTTTAAGGGTATTTCTGAGTTTCAGGACTGAGAGACCAATTTCTTAAGATAAACGTGTTTCAGTTAAAATGCATCTTATGAGATAGCAGGTCAGAAAATGATTTCTCTTAAGAGAAAGGACATGTGATGTTGGGACTCCATTACTCTCATCCTTAAGAAAATGTCAGGTGTTTTCTATCCTGATAGAATGTGCATGAGCAGACAGAATTCAGGCAGGTAAAATGAAAATCAATGTCCCCTGTTAGTGTGAGAAGAGAATGATGACTAAAAAAAAGATCAAAAATAGAATCAAAGTGAAAAGGAAAATTTTATAATTTTTCTCACCTTTTTTTTTTTTTTTTTCACAGATGCAATATAAAGAATATATCAGCTTGGTAAAAGACTTCTGTGCAAGGAAGGTAAATTCCCAATCATTTTATTTAATAGGGAGAATTCTAAATAGGGCGTGAAATTGTCTAGCTCTGGAAGTTATGTATGTGCTCAGTAAACATTACAGTGAATATAGTGCAAGAAGGGAACACAAGGCCAGGAGGGACTCGTTTTCTTCATACATACAATAGTTTGGTATTTCATTTCACACATAATTTAGTATTTCCCTGGAAGGAGAAATGAGCCCCTTAACACGAGTGAAAAATGAGTGTACAGATGGACTTAGTATAGTCTAAATCATCACACGTGGTTTGAACTCCAATAAAAGAAAGGAAATTTGTCTAGAGCAAAGACAGAACTTGGGTTAAGCAACGTTTTTTCTGGCTGTTTTGAGTAATAGCTTAGGTTAAGAGACTAAGAATCACAGATTAAAACCAGCCAAAGGTTTTTAAGGCACTTTTGAGAATTTGATGATTTCTGCCACTGGAAATGAGTGAAGTTAGGTGCTTAGCTGCCTCTTGGCTGGTTTAGAAGTTCTCTTCAAGTATATATTTTGGCTGTCGTTAAGTTGGGCTCTTGTTCCTTTTTTTTTTTTTTTTTTTTAAAACTAATACTGAATGGCAAATCCCAGTAAGCATACATGTTACCATTAGCACAGGAAAACTGCAAGCTACTACTGAAAACTGAATGTAATTGAAGCCACTTGAACTCTGGAAATCTTAAGAGGATGCTGAAATTTGGTCAAAGAGTTTTAGAAGCCCTGGCTGTTGTTGTTGTTTTTTTTTTTTGTTTTTTTTTTTGTTTTTTTTGTTTTTGTTTTTAAATTATTATAACATCCTTTGCTAGAGACGAAGATAACAATCTTTGTTACCTAGGAATATTGACACTTCCTATACATTAACACTTATCATTGTGTGTTCCCTTGTACTACCACCAGCCAGTACATGACAGCTCACTGAGTGTGTGATGTAGTCAAAAATCTCTGAATTTTAGCACAAGAGATAATTTTTGTTTTCCTGGTCAGACTGTGATGTGGCGATGCTGTGCCTCATCTCAGCTAACAGTGGTGTAGAAGGATGCAGTGCTTTACAGAGGGAGACTTCACTGGAAGTCAGTGGAAATTTGTGTGCTTGATTTGTCAGAAACTGTTACTGATGTGATGGTTACTTTTGAACCAAGAAGTTGTCAGGCTGGAATATGTATTTCATTTAATGGCTTTGTGAAGACTCTGTAATTTGAACAGAAGAAGCCATCTAGTTTCCTCAGCTACTGGAGATACTACTCTGGTTACTCTATCCATCATTGTTCCTCTAGTGAGATGTTGCAGTTCTAGAGACAGTAAGTCAGCCTCAGATCAGGATTCAGAGATGCAGCTTCATCAAGCAGCAGCAATGCCAGCAGGGCATTATTTTTGTCTCCCTTTGTATCAAGTGTCTTGTTTGGTAGAAATAAGCAACAAGCATGACTTAGTCATGTGTTGTGGAAGTCCCAGCAAAGGGTTAGGTTTGTAAGTTCTGAGGTCTACTGCATTCCACTGCACATGACTCTCAGTTTTATCATAGAAATCACGGCCTAATGACGGAGACCAGCTCAAGACGCCTGGGACAGACGGGCTTAGGCTCTGGTGGCACATAAGCAAGGTTTATTGTTGTTACAAGCATTTTATATCTTTTTGCTATGTGAGTATACAATACCTAAATCAGATAACATTCATGCAGCTGACAGCAATACATCATTATTTAATTAACTCTTTTGTGTATTATGATCAAAAGGCGTTCTATTCACAGAACATGTTCTGCTCTTGGTCACGGAACGAAGAAGCTGTAACTTATGCTTGCCAGTTTCACATGACAGCCCTTCCCTTTCAGGAGGGGCTGCATGTTCCCTGTTTGACCCTTTCAGGCCAGCCAGGTCTGTTTTGCTTAACAGTCTTCCTCAGCCTAAACATAGGTATTCTTACGTGTTCATACACTGCAAACTGTTTTCATCAGTTGGCTAAACTGAATTTAAAAAAAAAAAAGTTTTGGTTTTCCTTTTCCTAATTTGTAGATGGTTTTCACAATGTCTGTATGCATTCCTGGAGAAAGACTGTGCCCATCTCTCACTAGTAATACTCCACTATGTGCAATAATGGGCATACCCATAACAGGTAAAGGGTGTTCAGCTCACAGTTCAAAGGAAGAAAGCAGATCTGCTTTTCCACCCACTCCAGTTCCAGTCCCTCCTAATGTTTAATTCAAGTAGCTTAGCAAAGAATGCAATACCTATGATTTTGAGAGGATTACTGACAGATCTCTGGTGCCCCAACAATTTCCTCTCTACCCGTTTCATGTGTTTAAATTTATCTCAAAACTATTTCAGTGATTTGTGATGTTGGTAAAAGAACTTCGGTATAGTTTAATGAAAATTTTATTCTGTAATGATTTCCATGTAATATTTTAACACATTCATACTGCAAATAACAGGAGGGCTTCTCTTTTAAGAGAAAATGTCAACCAAAGTGACTGTCCTTCTGAACAAACAAAATAATAGGCAAGCTACTGTCTGGAACTTACTAAGGATTTGGTTAAAAAGCTTTCATTTAAATTTATTTGAAAGCCGAACAAGTCATAGGCATGTAAATTATCACTAGCATGAAAGAGGAAACATTTCAGTCCTCTTGTTCCATTCTGGTAGGGCTAAAAGATCCTCTTTGAATGATTACATTAAGATTCTTTGTTTAGCTGATTATATGAAAGATTAATTAGACAAGTGATTAGATGTTCTTCAAATCTATTTGATCATCCTAATTTGAGGTAAGACAGTTTTACTTTGAGGAAAATGATGGCGCTTTGGCTTGGGGTATCAACTGATTTTGGAGGTTGGAATTTGCTTCTCAGTAAAAATGTGACTTCCTAATCAGTTGTTCTTCCTCAAAGGCAGGGTAAACAATAATTGGCTTAATTTACAGCTCAGAAAATAAGGTTAGGTATTAGGAAAACATTCTTTCGAAACTGGTAGGAAATGCAGGAAAGTGGTAGAATATCTGGCGACATGAGCTTCTAAAATATGTTTTAAAAATGTCTGTCCATCCGGGTGGAATTAATTCTGTCCTAGATTGAAGAGGACAGTCTAAGTGACCTCTTGAAGTCCTTTGCAGCTCTTCATTTCTGTAATTGGTGTCACTGCCATAAATTGTATAACAAAATCAGGTTAGAAGGAAAGATGCATTTACATGTGAAACCAGAAGGAATTTCAAAGAACATTCTCTACTGCTGCTTTTTTTGTTGTTGTTGTTTGTTTTGGCAGATTTGTCTACTATGCTAATCAAATACACTGGTTTAACTTTCTTCTTCCTTCCTCCTTCCTCTAACCATCACTTAAAGAACAAGGGAAACAATCAGATTCACAGAGCTGTTCTCTTGGTTAGACATCAGTGTTCCAAGCTCTCTTATGATCAGGAAGTTGATACTGGTAAAACTTTATAATTAATTATGCTCCTTCAGGCTGTGATTAATTAAATTGGATCCCCTTTTGTCTTTAGCATGGGCAACAGGGGAATTGGCTGTTTAAATTGATGAGTCTTACTTTAATCAAATTCCTAGTGGACAGGCAGTCCTGCTGCCAGACAGTCACGCAGGAGCTCACAAAGATCCTGCACTCTTTCAAATTGTTCACCATCCTTCACAAGAAGCAATTCTGGAATGATAATTTGTTACAAAACATTTATAAAGATGCAGTTTGTCCATAGGATAAGCGAAGTCTTTAAAAACACTGCAATAACAGTTGTGAACAAAAGCAAGTCTGGAAGGCTTGTCCAACCTGTGTTTCCAGTGAGACAGTGTTAAACAGGACATTTGTCTCTTTATCTGGCAGTCAGGAAGCATCAATGTCATCAATTGTGTCATCAGTGCTAGATGTTATGCAATGCAGTCAGGATACCATGTTCTCACCACCTGCTGAGATTAATGTGATAGAAATTCCAGAGGACCACAAGAAAAGTCTTGCATGATTAAAGCATGTTCAGCACTAAAGCTGTCTGCTGACCATTCGTATTGAAAGACTGTGGAATAGTCACCTATTTTAAAGTGTGTGGGGGGGGGGGGGGGGGGGATGGGAAGTGTTCCTAAAGACAAGCGAGAATGGATAGCAATGGTATCTTCTGTCAGTAATTGATTCTTCTGTTGGTAGTTAACTAGAGCAGCGGTCTGGTATGACAGCCATGCATAGAAAAGCAGCCAGTCAAAAGCCTTTCTGATAAGGCTGACAAAGTGAATACGATCTCAGAAAATTGAGTTTAGGCATTGACTCCACTGAATGAATAAATGAAAAATGGCAATGGTTGTGCCAGTTCTGTCGTAGTGCAGCTAACTGGACTGAGGAGTGCCCAGTATGGTTTGGGATAAATTCATCTGTCTTCATCACCAATGACTTAAATGTTGTTCTGTATTTTTTGCAGAGGGAGCTATACCAAGAATTCTTTGAATGGAAAACACTGGACTGAGGTATTTAAGTTCTGGCTTCATGTACTTTCAGGAACATGTAAGATTGTTTTCTGACTTTTATTTTACCCATGACTATCCAAAGTTTTCTCCCCACAATAAGATTTTAAAAAACACATACAGTAAATAAAAAGGTTCAATTAATCTTCACCTGTGACCTGAATCACTGAGACCTAGAAAAGGTGACCTAGGGCTGATCACCTGCAAGAGCCCTAAGTGAGCTTTGGATATGGTTGGCTTTGGATATGGTTGGTTTTTTATTTGGGAGATAGACTTGCAGACTTCTGTCATACTTTACCAAAAAAGGTCTCTCTTTAAGTGTTTCTTGTACTTATATGTTCTTACCTTTTCAATAGAAACAATTTTTAGTTCCCATACCAGTTTCTTCTGCACACTCATCAACTTCCAGGAAAATAAGTTCTTGCCGAGTCTGTGTGTGTGTGTAGGTGAGAGAGGCTGGGTACTCCATACCTCCAGTTTGCTGCATATCCCTTCTAGCAGATCACCACTCTCTATGCAGTATTGTTCTTTCATTCTTCGGGTTCATAGAAAGCAGTGATTGCCCGCAAATGACCTCATATGTAGTTTGCCATTTTGCTAGTGATGGACATAGAATTGAAAAAATAGGAACTTTAACACTTTTCTGAAAAAAAAAAAAAAAAACCCAGCTACTTGGCAAGCAATGCAGGTTTGGAGATTGCATTTTATTTTTAAGAAAAGGCAGTTAAGCTCTTCAAAATGCATTAAATAATATATTTCAATGACATTGATGTCAGCACTAATTACTTCATTTCTGTTTCCTGCCTGGGCGCCAGTCAAACAATTAACAGGAAGTTTGCAGTAGTTCCTCATGGGGTCCTACTTCAATTCACTAAAATTTAATGAAATTAACATTTTCAGAACTAAGTTGTATTTTACAGTGAGTAAACCTATCACTGCCAAAAAAATGAATTTCCACATAACAAAGCAGTATGTTTTCCACCAGAACATACTTACTGCTCTACTGAAAGCATAATTACAACATTGTTGATTTTTATAGTAAGCTGATATTATAATTAGGGATGTAACATTTGGTGATGATATTTCAATTCTCCTAGGGATTGCTGTTTGACTAGGAAAGATCTTGCTAGATCTGCTTGGCTGCCACTGCCTATTCTCTCCTGACCTAATTAAATTAAATTGTTAGACTATGTGCTTTGCAAAATAAGAAAATTTTACAGCTCTACTTTTCTTGGGTAAATTACATATGTTTTTTGGAAGTGGAGTCCCAATTCACCTCACATTGACAGTACTGCTAGAAAGCTGGCTAGCAGGGTAGAAAGCAGGGAAAATTTGCCATTCCTGTGGCCAGGATTTCTAGAGTTAATCTGAAGCCCAAGTAACTGGTTTGTTTTCTCCCAACAGAAAGAGCGTGCATTCTGTTTCTAAACACAAGTAAACTAAAACATTGTTTATTCTCTTTTCTTTGTGCAACTGCAGTGATGGACATAAAAATACCTCTTTCTTCATCTTGCTCACCCACACATTGGAGTGGTAGCTCTAAGCACAGGCTTTCTGCAGATTGCTTCTCTCTTTGCCATATGTGAAGTTGGAATCCTTTCTTCACCTGTTATGCTTAGCACTGATTTTATGTCTTTTGAACTTGGAAATCTTTCCCTAAAGGTCTTTTCAAAATAGCTTGTCTTGTTAAGACAGTTGTTTGCCCCAACTACTGAAGAAATAATATTGAATGTTTCAAGAGAAACAATCTTAGCTCCAAGCGAGTCCTCTATTTGCATTTTCATTTTTACTGATTGGGTTTTGCTGGTAATAGTTACATGCTAATGAAACTCAATGTGAAATTGACTCAGAACTTTTTCACTGCTTACAGTATGGATGGAAACATAATCTGAAGTTCTAGAATCAGAGCTGTATAACAAACTGTGAATTTGTCAAAATTAGACAAAATGTACATTCACTACATTGTTTGTAGAGATGAGGACTTTCAGAAAAGGTACTTCTTCCGGGGAGGAACTTCAGGGTAGTTACTAAACTTGGTTTGCTTAATATGGTTTTGGGTGTATGACCCATCCATTCACTGCTTGAAGTCTTCAGCATTTTGTAACCAGAATACAATTTTATGGTAGTATCTTGATTTGAGTTTACTTCTGCATGTGTAGGCTGAATGTTAGGACATGGTAATGGTCATACTGTGTTCGCTCTTCTGGCCTCAGCATGCTATCTATAGCTATCACTAAGCAAGTGTGCATGGGGAAAAAAAAAAAAGGTTATATGGTGGTATTAGTTATATTTCCTGGGTATGCTCTTCCTGCCAAGGAATTTCTAAGCCAAGTGGTTTTGCACTTCATAGCATCAAAGGATTCCACTACCCTTTATTTGTCCACTTACTCTTAACCCAGAGTAGACATCTGGCCCACTCACACTGCATTTTGGAAAGACCATGAGCTACCTGACTCAGCGCTGGCTGCGTACACCTCACCTCTCACCTGCTCTTGCAAAAGGAGTTATTGGGGCTCTTCTAAGAGTGGCTTGTTGGCCAGTGGCTCATCTACCATGGCAGAGGGCACCCATCTCAGTGGATCCTTGCAGGCCTTGTGAGCTGGAATGCACTCCCAAGGAGAACGCAGCATTTCCCTCTGGCTCTTTCAACTCCCCTAGACCTGTGCCAGGGCATTCTCCTGAGTGTAAAGAATATGAATAGCTAATCACTTCCCAAAACGTTTCAGCTGGAGCATGAAACTACACAGACCTTGATAGGCAAATGAGAAGTTTAAGCTTCCTGCTGCCAAAAAACATTTATGTTTAGCTGCAGAGTTTGTTTGAATTATGGTAGGCAGAAGGAAGTGCAAGGATATTTTATTTTTAATTAGCAGAAAACTTATCTCTATTTGCTAATTGCTGAGCTGAATACTTTCTTTAACACTGTTAGCTCCTAGTGCCTTTAAACTTATATCTGTGGCTCTACATATGCATTGGATCTAAACACAAAATGGAAGTCTTCAAAAACTCTTTCCCAATATGGTCTCCAAGTTTCTTAGCACATTCCTTAGATTCCATTGCTAACTTCTTCAACTCAGCAGTTGCTTTGCACATTTCAATTAAGAGAAAATGAGACATCCTCTCATGCACACTACTGTCCCTCATGCTTCCCCATGGCTTAATATTATTTTCATATGTATATAAATACCGTCTTATTGACTGGAGAGAGGAAACTGTTGATTGCCCCATAGCATAAATTTTTCATTGAGAATGAAACACATTCAGGCACTTCAAAACTTATTAAATAATAAATGTGCTTCAGACATAGGAAAAATCAGAGCTAATTACCAATATCCGCTTAGTGAACCTAGTACACTTGGGCAGGGAATCAAGGTCACCATTTGTATTTTCTTATTCCAGACATACTAATGATTATTTTATAAAAACTTAGTGCCCACTTTCAAATAAGAAGCTATCATGCTGTTAGGAATGGTTTGGAAGATTAACCTTATGTTCAGACAGTGACAGCTTCTACAATTTTAGTACTGTCTTGCATTTAGCAGCAGAAGTCTGGATTTTATAGTAGCCTTGGACTGCTTGCTACCAGCCCTTATTTTTTCTTGATTCAAAACAACTTCACTGAGCTTGTACATGCAACACCTGGAAACAGCCATCATAAACTAGCAAATTCATAACATGAACTTTTGCAAGTAAGGTCTAAGAAAGCCAGATTAGAACAGCTACAGGGAGGGCAGACAGATCCTTCAAGGTGATTATCTACATACAGTATTTCTTATTGCATCGATATTTAGCCGGAATTTGTTGAACCTTTGATGTTAGTTTCTTGTTCATTGGCAGTTTCGTAGTTTTCATCCATGAATCCTGGAGAAAATCTGCCTGGAATTCTCACTGCATGGCCCTGTTCTTAAAGATAGAAGCATGTCTGGAGATTTATGCAATGGGTGATATTTTATAGATTGGTTTATAAATAAATTCAGAATGATGGCATGCACTTCAGGCACATGATGTAATTTCCCTGGTGCTTTTATTTTTTTTCCTGACAACATCACCTGGGAAAATGAAGAATGTAGCTTATTTTGTGTGTGTAAAGAAACTGGTTTTAAGATGATACATAATGCAGATCAGATGGAGGAAAATTGTCAGTTCTAAAAACAGGATGGGAGATCAGTATTGAGAGTTTAGACCTGTCTGGATAAGCTCTGTATCCACAACTGCATCCCGATACATGACTCGTATGTTTCATGAGCTGATGCTGAAAGTTCTAACGCATCCTCCTGAAATATCCCCAATGGCATGCAATAAAGGGCAAGTAGAAGGAAAGACTCAAGAGTACAGATAACAGTGGATATAAGGACATACTAGAAGTGTTGGGGTTTTTTTGGAGCATAGGTCTTATGAGGAACAGCTGAGGGAACTGGGATTGTTTAATCTGGAGAAGAGGGGGCTCAGGACAGACCTCATTGCTTTCTGCAACTCCCTAAAAAATGGGCTGTATCAAGGTGGAGGTTGGCCTCTTCTCCCAGGTAACAATGACAGGACAAGGGATTGGCTTCAAGTTGAATGGAGGAGGTTCTGGCTAGGTATTAGCAACATTTTTTTTTTCTCATGAAGAGTGGTGATGCACTGAAACAGGCTGCTCAGAGAGGTAGTAGAATCACCATCCATGGAGGTGTTCAGGAAACATGAGGATGGAGCACTAAGGGACATGGTTAACGGACATAGTGAGGATTGGATGATCTGACAGGTCTGTTTCAACCTTAATGATTCTTTTGTTCTGTTATCTTAGTTTTTCAAGTAGATACAACAGCAGTGTTAGCACATCTACGGCTCAGTTGATCCATCATCTTTTCCTTTCTGGAGGGGAGACATGCAGACATGGCTGTGGCAGGAGAATGAAGGCTGTATGGTGCTTTCACATGGTGCTTTCTTTCCAAGTACATTAGTATTGCATGCTTGAAGCTACATAGTATTCTCTGGCGCAAGAAACCTGTCCTACCAATGTTTGCATTACATCTCCAAATGATGCAGCTCTTCTACCCCTCTGTGTGGTTGCAGGCAGTGCATGTGCAATAAGCAGCTGCAGACGTAAGAGGAATAGTCCTGCTGAGCAGGCAGGCACTTCTTCCTGCCTGGTTGATAGCATCTATGTAGGCACTTTTTTCTTCCATTCTATTCACACTAGCTTAATCTATGCTGGAAAGAGCTCAACTATATCATCCTGATTTCAGCCCCAGTTTAATTTAGACATAACGTCTAATCTATAAGTCTATTAGTGGACTAACATTGTTTCTGCTGGAACAGTAAGTTACCAGGTAAAGAATAACAGCAACAACAACATCAAGAAACCTCTGATATCTGCTAAGATGTACATGTGCAATCATGAGGGCTTTATGTTCTCTCTCCTACCCTGTATAGTCTTTTACATTAATGTAAGGACCGTACTGAAAAGTGTTTTAGATGTCATTTGCAGTGGGGGTTTCAGTATGAGCTAATGCTCCAATTCCTTGTGTTAATCCAGAACGTATTATGGGACTGGGTGGATGCAGCATCTGGAAGGGTTGCTACAGACATGCTGACTATCTCAAAGCAATTGATAGTCATAGAACCAGAGGCTGAAAATGCCATCTGGGAAAAAGCTGTCATGTTTCTCTTTCTTCTCCAGAGTATATTTCCTTTTTCTTTTGTTGGTTCAGAGCGATGAGAGTCACAGTGACAAGAACTCAGTAGAATCATGGCATAAGGATCCAAACTCAAAAGTCTCTCACAGATGGGATAAATGGCCTTCGTTTGGCTCTCAGAAGAGCAAGGAATCTACAGAGGACACTTTTCTCAGGAACTGTAGCCATCGTCAAAGTTCCTTTTCAAATAAAGCTGGGCTTCAGCAGAATTGATAGTGTTTCTGAGAGCTCAGGGGATCAATAAAGGCAGCAGGAAAAGGAAAAGGCAAACGGCTGTAGCTTCTTAAATGAGAATTGATTTTGTCCATTGTCCAGTCCCAGGGCAAAGGAACAAGCTTATCACTTCAAACCAAGAATAGAAGGGAAACTAATTCTCTAGTCTCAAGAAAGGACAGGCGCTCAGTAAAAGGTCGCTGGGGAGATCAACACTGTCATAAAGAGATCCTTTTTTACTTGACTTTCTGACAGTGAAAGTAGACTTAGGCTACTCATCTGCATGGCCTTCCTCCAACATTGATGTCTATGGCTGCAAGGAAGCCAAGATGCACCACCAAGGGAAAAAAACAAATCCATATATATGCCCTTCTCTGGGATTCACTAAAATCAGGGAGTTTGAAGTAGTTTCAGACCTCAGCATCTACTTGGAGAAGCCCAGGAAGTTACCACCAACCTCCATGCAACATTGCCCAAGGGTGGCAGAGCCCTGTGGAGCTCGGAGATGCCCTTCAGTGGTCCTGTACAGTACCTTCTAGTTTGATCCTTTGGGCAGGCTTCACACAATCCTGTATCCCATCCCTTTTTTTTTTTTTTTCTAATTGTTCACCTACTGTCACGATTAAAACAAACACCATCAATCTGGTTTTGCTTGCCTGTATCTAGCAATGCTGTTTCTCTAATACATTTTGCACTAGAACAAATAAATGCATGAATATATCTATGAAAAACAAATGCACATATATTTGTTTATATAACAATTTATTCACAGGGCCATTTCATGGGGGTGAGAGGGAGCTAATTTTGACCACAGGAACCTCAGTAAAGGTCAAGGGACTGACACTGCTTTTTTAACTCCACTATTCAGTCTCCGTACAGTGAGATGTTCTGTATGCAGAAAGGCTGCCCCAATGCAGAACTGAGGCCAAGCAGGATCTCAATGGCATTTGTAAGAAACAGGTGTGATGAAGTTGGTGCCTCAAGAGACCCTGAAAGAGAAGAGGGCTCTCTTCCTGAAGGAACATACTGGAAGCTTACAGGGATGCAGAGTGTTGTTTGTGGTTTTCCTACTGGCCACAGAAAACCCCTGGTTGCAGGAGAAGAGGAAAGGAACTGTTCTATCATACGAGATTTCTAAAAGTTTATAGTGGTGGTGCTGTGTTTTTCACTCCATGTGAACATTTCCTCTGTCTTATGTTCTTTCTTCATGCCCCCCAAATCCTTGATCTCTCAGCTGGAAGCGACCAGCATTTTCTACTCAGCTCAAGGTCCTTTGAAGCGATTCTTCAGAGTTCCCAAATCCCTTTTGTTTAGCCTTTTCTCCATCTGAGTTTGTTAAATTTTAAAGTACAGAAAAAAATGACCACACAAACTGTTCCGTCAGCAAACATCATTTGAAGAATGTTTTGGCATTTCCAAAGTTCATATTTTCTGAGTGAATATGTCCAAATAACATCTTTTGATGTTTGTTTCAATTGCTGAGTCTTTTCCTGCTGGCTTTTAAGTGCTGGAACAGCTCAGTGAGTTCTGCCCGAATTCATCACTAGACTTGGTACTAATTTTGGGGCAAAAAGTACAGAAGGTCCCAATCATGCAGATGCTACTGGAGTTTCAAATGTGAGAGCTGTGAGCCTGATGTCTGTGCTGGGAATACTCAGTTGAAAGAAATGTTTCTGGAGAAAAATACCTTATATAATAGACTTCCTGAATTTTTATCAGTTGAAAGCTCCTCAGAAAAGTTCTCTGAAGCTCAGAAATCAACCGGTGTTCATCTGCTGTCTGTTTATTGGCATACTTTCATCCTACCACAGTGACATCAATCTTTCCTTCTTTTCAAAATCTTTCCCATTTGAACCAACCAAACAAAAGAAACCATGCATCCAATGGAACATTAAAACGAAGTTAAAACAAGCAAACGAGCTGTAAGCAGCTCCTGAAGGTGCACAGGATGATTAAAGGAACTGCATTTCTACCCTTGATGTGCACTGCAATATACAGGAGATGATTTTCATTTATTTATTTATTTATTTTGCAGCGTGTTTATTGCAGGAAACAGTCATTTTCTGGTTACTGGTTATGATGCTATGTTTTCTGCTGTGTCTAGACAGCATAGTAAACACATTGTCTGCTCTCCAAGGTGAATTTGGCCTTGTTAGACTCATAAAAAAATACCGAATGATTTCAGTGGCTGCTCAGTGCTGTTTGAATATAGGGTTTGGCTTCTGTTGTTTTATTCTAGCCACGTTTTCTTCACTTTTCTTGTTATTTAGAAAGTGTAAAGTCTGTTTATTTCAGCTCTGTGATTTACAGTGTTTCATGGTCTGGAGACTCATACTTGTTTGGTGAAATATCTAAGTAGCTGTTTATATAATGACTCTCCTGAAATTTAGTATCTTCTGGGTTAACTTGATAAACAATGCTAAAGAAAAGGTGGCAGAGAGTCCTGTATTCATGTGTAGCTTTGACCATGAATAGTCTCACAGAAACTATTGGGACCAGACAAGTTTCATAAGGTTTATTTCATCAGGGCCAAACATGAGGTTCATGAAAAAAATAATGATATCATTTAGAGGGTAATAGAAGACAATGTGAAATTGAGGTTCACTTTTGCTCTTCAGGGCTTTCTGCTTTCTTTACCTCTCACAAGATTCCAAATTAAATAGGTACTACTGCTATGGTTTGTATAGGACTAAAGTAAAAATTGTTAGCCATTTATATATGTTTGAAATTTCATGGTCATGAAGGACTGTTTTTTTTGGTTGGTTTTGTTTTGTAAGGGGCACGGGCAGAGCATAGTGTGAGTGACTGATATGAGTTGACCTGTTGTACATTGCTTGGGGCTTGCAGGTGTGAGAACAGACTTGAGCAGCTGGATTTCTGCCCCTTCAAAGGAGACTGCCAAAAGGAGTGAACCAAAGACATAAGGTCTGTGTAGACTACACTACACTGTGTAATCTGACGCAGTTGTGCAGGCAGTGGAAAGTGCATGGGGAAAAACTAAGTCTAATAAGTGCTAGTCATTTGCTAATGTATCATCAAATATTTTTTCCAAAGAGAACAAATTCCAGCATTGTCCTGGTGCTGCTCATGCTTTTTGTAGGTGCTCTTTGCAGATACTCTTTGTATCTCTACTTGTATTTGTAGCAGGAAAAAAGCAAATTTTTGCCAGGCAGAGCTCTTTCCCTCTTTTTCAGACCACTGCAGTTACGGTGTCTGAATATGAGCCAGTGGAAAGCAGTCCAGAGTGGCTGGACATTCAGGTAAAGCTAAGTATTGGTTCCCAAAAGCTGTCATGCTTTGTATTTTGGGAATCTAAACCAGAGAGGACAAGAAAATGTTCTATGCTGTACTGGAAAGAATAGAAAAAAATGAAGTAACTTTCCTTTCTCTTGACTTCTTATGATCTTTATATTGGATGGCACTACTCATGTCAGGTTTACCTTGAGTAGTTGACTTTTGGTATGACAGGTATAGATCTTGTCTGCACTTACGACCCCAGTGTTCAGTCACTGTGAGTGATGAGAACTGGGAACAAAGGCCAGCAGAAGGTCCAGCAAATAAGAGGCTATTTCTTCAGTGCTGGAAAGCCTTTGCTGTACATACTCAGTTCTGCAGAAGGCACTCGCTCCATACTGATGACACAATAGTCCCAAGAGCTGAGAACTAATGTCAGTTAGTTGAATCCTCATTCCAAATACTGGCAAGTGCTGGATTTAATTTTGAGAAGACAAAAGGAGGTGCATGCTTTTAACACAGTCCAGCTATGTTCAGGACCTATTGCTGAGTTAATCATTGATCAGCAAACTAAGGGCATGTGATGTGACCGTAAAATTTAAACATAATCTCAACTCTAACTTAAGTCTGTGGAGTGGAGGAGAAGCTAGTTCTTAGAGATAAGAAATTGCTTACTTTGGCTTCTCTGGAGTAAAACCAGGTTGTGCCAAAACTGAATATCAAGATTAGATTGACTGAAGTAAGAGATGAAGGAAGTCTTCTGTGGCAAGGCTCCTTCTGCATAAGATTTTGGAGCAATCCTTTGGCCCCCAGGAACAGGAACATTGTGTAGTCTGACTCAGTTGTGCTGACAGGCAGTGGAAAGTGCGTGGGGAAAAACTAAGTCTAATGAGTGCTAGTCATTTGCTAATGTATCATCAAATATTTTTTCCAAGGAGAACAAATTCCAGCATTGACCTGGTGCTGCTCATGCTTTTTGTAGATGCTCTTTGCAGATACTCTTTGTATCTCTACTTGTATTTGTAGCAGGAAAAAAGCAAATTTTTGCCAGGCAGAGCTCTTTCCCTCTTTTTTCAGTCACCTTTCACCTGTTTAGGATGTCATTACTGTGACTGCATAGAAGGCATGAGCATATTGTCTTCTCATTTTGTGATTGTGATGAAAGATCAGAGATGATCCAGGAAAGCAAATTTCCCTGTGGCTCCTGAGTTAGGAGGCAGAGTACTGTCCTCCCTAATAATGTACTTTCCTTGCTCACCTGAACATGGGAAGAAGGAAAATGAAGTTCCTTAAAAGTTGTAAGGATGCTTCCATTGTGTCCGCACAAAAGAGAAAACATAAAAACCTCATATGTGATGATGTGATGCCACTGTGGCATCATTTTTCTCCATGTGTGTGACAGATTGCTGATACAGATTGTATACTATCAAGAACAGGAGGCTTGTGGGAGACCTTATATCTCTCTACAACTGCCTGAAAGGAGGCTATAGTGAGGTGGATGTTGTCTTCTTCTCCTGGGTAACAGCTACAGGACAAAAAAGCCTTGAGCTGCACCTAGGAGAGGGTCAGGTTAGATATTAGGAAAAATTTCCTCTCAGAAAGAGTGGTGAGGCATTGGCACAGGCTGCCCAGGGAGGTGGAGGAGTCACTATCCCTGGAGGTGTTCGAGAAACATGGAGATACAGCACTGAGGACCTGGGTAGTAGGCATGGTGGGGATGGGTTGATACTTGAATTACAC